AGCGATTATTTCCCAGATCCCAAGGGGTTGCCTGAGGTTGAGACGGTCGAAATAGGTGATCGAAATAAAATGCCCGCGACAAATGTGTTTACATTAAATGGTCAGCGATTTCTGATTAATTGGTCTTGGTTTCCGTGAACAATAGCTTTGGCGAGTCAGAAAAGACGGGATGTAGAAATGTTTGTTGTCTAGGAAATTGAATGTGTGTATAGTGTGCACATTTAAACTAAACTTCCTTTGTTTACCACACAGGGTCTGTAAAAATTAAATTCATTTGCAAGTAAACATCTCTTCAGTACTTACAAATAATTTACTCTGATGTTTATTTTCTAGGTTTCAAGAAGGTCATTCTCAGGTTAATTTTATGGAATTTTAACGTAAAACAGCTTTTGAAGAATAAACCTTTAAAAACACCAATGCTTTGCACAGTTCAATGTGTTCTATACTACCAGGGATTTTTGGAGTGTATTTTCCATTATTCGTCATTCATAGGCACTATTGACTAATTCATACTTAAGAATGAAATGTAGAACAAATGTATAATCCTAACTCGTTTATTTATAATTTATTTGCACAAAAATGGAAATACATAAGATATATTTTAATTTTCGGTTCATAGCCTTTAAAGTTAGTAATAAATAGGATTCTAGTCTTAGATACAAAGAGTCCTGTTCTCTCTTTTTGGAGATGTGTTGGGGTATGTAAAGTCCTGAAGAGGAAAATTACGTCTTAAATTTCTGTGGAAAGTGAACACATTCCGATAAGTTAGAAACAAACATAGGTATACTGTTCTGATTGCATTGTTCTAATGAAGATCTGATAGGCATCTGCTAACTCACGGATTCATAAAAATGGAGACAAAGAAATGCAATAGAAAATATAGTACATATATTTTGCGGAGTGTTGGACACCATAGAATGGACATTCCAGTTGCTCTCCTAGTGTTGAGATTAAAGATGATTATTTATATTGGTTATTGATAATTAAGTATTTAAAAGTCCTGATAATTTTGTCTTGTGCAGGTTTTCAGGAGAAATTGGGTAGTTTAAGATTAAAAACGCTAATATTTCCTTTCTCTTGTGTTCTGTATTTGATAACTAATGTCTTTGTACTTGCTGCAATATAGTTTTTAAAAAGTCTCTTCAGGGAATTGGTTTAAAAATTGATTTAAAAATGAGTTTTAGAATTTAGAATTCCACCAGAGAATCGAGAATGTATTTAGTATGAGTAGCAGTGATTAAAAAAATAGAAAAACACTTGTTGATTTAGTGTAGTTAAAGAAAATGCTCTAGTACTTGGATAACGCTTTGCCTTGAATGTGTATGTGATTATATTTATGTTGGCCATGTAAAGATTTTAGGTGCATTTCTCCAGGCCACACTGGACTTTCTCCAGGATATCTCCCACCCATTGAGGTGGCATGCTCAAAAGAGTGTGAAATTACTTTAGTATTAGCCTTTAAATAAACAGTGAGCAAGAAAGTTGATTCACTTTATAAAAACCAACAAGAAGGAAAAATTCTCCAATGATATAATGTATTCTAGGGTCAGTTACAATTGATTTACGGATTAACCTTGAAGTCATCAAGTCAGTGTAGATGAAAAAAATTTCTGTAAATTTGGAAGGATTCTGTATTGGTAGGTGAAACCTTTCCTTTGGAGAGTGTGTAAGTGGAGAGGAACAATTTATTAAATTCAGAGAAGGGTTCACACTTGGATGAGACCCCTTACCTTCTGGAGGCCATCCATCCTTGAAGTCCCAGGCACTGTTATATCCACAAGGCTTTTTGTTCATACTTTTGTTATAGCATGTATCAATTGAATTGTAATCACTTGTTTATGTATCCTTCTTTACTACACTTAAGTGTATGGAGGCAGGGGCTCTGTCTTACTTTTCTTGTATACCTAGCATCTAGATTAGAAGCAATTGCTAGAGAATTCAGGGGTTTAAGAGTTGAACGAATTTTTAAAGAAAATACAAAAAATGTAGGGAAGTAATTTGGCAAAGGAACTTGCAGAGCAAACAGGACATACCAATATTTATGTGGTGTGGAACTTTGGAAGGTACTTTTCTTTCTCTTCGAGAGGTAGGGATTATAAGGAGAAACAGTGGTCAAGGTGAGTAAGTTTTAAGTTTTTTTCATACTTAGCCTATTCTATGATAGTGAAAATTGGGTATCTTAAGGTAGTTATTGATATTCATGTTTGGTGTCTCAGGCAACTTAGAAGCTTGATCAGCCATCTGGATGTCTAGCGTATAGTATCAGCTTAATTTCCTTCCATGCTGATGTTGGTGATCCTTGTACAGAAATGTAAGAGAGGGAAAGGGCAAGTGACTGTAGCAAATCTTTTTTTTTTT